GCGACAGCTGCAAATCACGTCGTTATTGGACTGCACGAGTTATGCATGCATAAGGAGTTAATTTTTTTATCACCCTAATTAGATTATGAAGAATGATTTGTTGATCTTGTTTTCCCTTTAATACATAGCACCTTCCGCAATATATTTTTCAATTACTTTCAAAAAGTGGTAGGGACAATATCGACCCTGGCAAAAAGTGGTGGGGACATGTCCCACCCGCAAATTACGCCTATGATTTTGAAGCCTAAATACAATCGGCACAAATAAAAAGCTAAAGTTAGGCTATAAACGAACTACGTCTTAAATGTAACTACCATTAAGCTTCTGACAACTCTTTTGATCTTAACTTAAAATCTATAACTTAGAAAGTCTCAGTTAGAATAGTTTGCATGAGTGTGAAAATAAGGAGACTACTGAGTAGAGAAGTTTATTTGTTGGGCATGATGAAGTTTAAGGTCCCTGACAACCTCTCTTGTCCCTTTTAGCCATTTGTTAACAACCGCCTTTTTCAAGACAAGTAAAAGCTTTAAAAATCATGAGTGGAGCATTACTGCCGTAGAATAAAATGGAAAAATATCTTAAGCTTGTGTTAACCAAAATCCAGTTCCAAAAATTCAATGACCTCAGGACGACTGAACTGGAAGTTCAAAAATGCTAACTTTCAAGTTTTAGGACTCATTCCTGTAGAACTCAATTAACTGAACATTCTGTTACTATATTGAGTATGGTATATGACTGGAATTCTGTATTGACCAATCAGCATCCAGGAGTGGAAAATGTTTTATGATGGAGGATAATGTGAATGGTTCTACTCAAGGTAAGGAAAGACAGAAAACTTAACATTCAATGTTTTATCTTGAAAAAAAATGATTTTGTAAACATGTCACACACCTATTTTTGGTGACTCCCTTTTTTCAACTTCATTGGCTTCTTTACCAATCCAAAGGAAGATCTAGAAAGAGCAGCAGTTCTTCAGCATTACAGGCCATTAACTATACATGTACTAGCTGATACAAACTATGTCCCAATTCAGAGGCTGCATCCGTCGAAGGCTGCTTTTCAAGACCGATCACCGTGGCACAACAAAAGCTGTCCCATTTCAAGACTCCTTAAATGATGGCCTCGAAATGCGCCCTTCGTTTCCCAGGACACAAACGATACAACAAATGGATCCTTCATGGCCCAGGCTATCCCAAGATTCATTGCGCGCCAGTGATGACAGGATTTTTTTGAGAGAAAATGCCAGATTACCCCGTTTTGTTCTCAGACAGTTGAATAAAACTCCAGTACAAACGTTACTGCTGCTCATCAGCTACAGCAGTCCTCCGTAGGCTAGACTGCCCCATTTAACAATGCACGGTTCGACCTTCACAGACTTTAAAGATGTGGCCTTCGAAGTCTGTGTCCTTCTAAGAATGCATCCCCTGAATTAGGACATAGCTACAGTCTATATTTATTTAGATATTTCCATTACTTTTCAAGATTTTATTATTTTCCATGACTTTCCCAGATCTAAAAATTTATACATTTATTATATTATTTATAATTAATAAATAAATAAAAATGAGGGAACATGTTAGATCTGGGAAACAAATTAGTCATCTTGAAGCCCCATTAGAAGTTTGCTGAGACCCCCTGGTTGAGAACCACTGGTCTGAACTACATTCAAGTGGACTACTGTACATCCTGCATCAACTCACCTGATCCCAGGTGTCAAGCAACATGACATCATCGGTAGCCAAGTCTGACTGAGTGAAGTCTCCAGGAACTTCCTCAACCTGAGAAAACGAACAAGACATTCGATCCATGACATCAACATATTTACAAAACGCAGCTGTCCTCCAGCTTGCCTGTGTGTTTCTGTGACTCTCACTTACCACAAGCCGGCCTGTCTTATTGGAGCAGCCGAACAGACGTGGTGGTTTGGCCATCTTTTGTAGAGTTGGAGATGTCTGGTACTCCTTCTTCCCGCCCAGAGCCGACCAGAATCCAGCTGAAGAGAGAGTTATGTAAGAAAGGAGTTCATATAATATATGATAAAAAACATGGCAGACTCTCACCTGGTTCTTTACCCTCTACCACATCAGTGGATTGTCTTCCCAGCACACTTACAACATACTTCGCTGCGACCATTTCTTCCTCACTGGCACCTGCGCCTTTCCAAACAAACACACAATCTGGCGACTTCAGCACAAATACGTCATTGGTGTTTAAGTTGGAAGCAGATGGTTCAACCTATAATGGAAGTTATATGTGCTCAATGAGAAACATTACACTATATGTATGAGAGTATTTAGAGTGTGACTAACCTCGACAGCGCGTGTGGCTCTAGAAGAGCTCTGTCGGATGTGGAAGAGGCGCATACTGCCTGTCTTGGTCTGGCCGTCTTTGCGTGAAGTGCCTCCACTATGGATGATCATAGGTTTGCCCTTGAACAGACTCATCAGATGGGGGGGCTCTTGACCCTGTGTTACTCGCACCTGAGCAATTTATTGAGATGGATAAAATCATTTTAGCATTTTTTTTAATGGTGGTACATGTGACTACAACTGATAAAAGTCACAACAGACAAACTAGGTTAATTTAATGGCTCTTCTGATCAAGATCACACCCTGGTGGTTACCATCAAAAATACAGCAAATTTCTTGGCTTTCTTGTATTTTATAGGCTTGCCCAACCCAAGTGGCATGAGAACACGTAATAATTCTTGGGAAATCATAAAGAATTGTACAAGTTGGTTCATGCAAAAAGTCTCACCTGAACTGGAGCTCCTCCCATGGAGTCATCCAGCTGGACCGTAAGGAAGGCAGAAGCTGCCAGCTCATCCTGAGTGCTCTTCAGCCCCTGCCTGTCACACATCACATGTATGCTATAAAATTACACTTTGTTCATATGAAACACACAAAATATACTATAAAGCCCTATAAACACATATGGACTGACCAGGTGTAGATGATATGCTGCTCCCTACTTCCCTGTTTATAACTGTAGAGGATCAGGTAACAGTCTCCCCCAAAGAACTGACCGTAAGTAGAGGGATCCACTGGGACACGGTCCCCTCCCTCCACACGCCAGATCTGACTCAGACAAACATGAGTGTTAATGACAGACTGATTAAAGAACATTTCCTATACGTATAAGCAGGGCACAACTTTAATCCTCAATCCTTCAAGCACCAAATGCAAGAAAGCATTGGATTTGCTATTTGCAAGGAACTGCAATGTAATATATGGTTTAAATCCAGTTGAAAAATTATATTTGGACCCTCACTGATGTAAGTGACATGGAAAGATTTCTAATCCCATTCTAATTCTTTTTAAATACCATTCTCATAAGGAAAAAAATATTATATTTAGGCTGGGTGGCCACTTTATTTGCTGGAATTAGTTTAGATTTTTAATTATAGTAGAGCTGTATCATGTTTATCAACTCAAAATCAAAAGTTTGGGGTCCTCAAGATGTTTTTTTTTTAAAAGATCAAAACTACAGTAAAAAAAAAAAACTACTTGATCAAAATTACAAGTTACATTTTGTCAGGATTCTCTGATAAACAGAAAGCTAAAAAAAAACGTATTTGACATAGAAATATTTAGTAACATTAAAAAAACTTGCCAACCCCAAACTTTTGAATGGTAGTGTATCTACCTGTCACTGTGAAAGAGTTTAATTTTGATGACCAAAATTAAATTTACCTGGACTTTTCCAGAACCATCATCAACCATGTTGTGCTGGGCTGCCATGGCCTTGTTGTTATGGAGGCTGGAGGCATCGAAAGGAATCTGCTCCACATGGGCTATTTTGCCTATGGTGTAGGCCTTGGTAGGACCAGTGGTTTGGTCCTTGTCCTTCCAGTTAGAGAAGAACTGCTTGAACAGGGTGGTCTCGCCCCCTGCAGGAAGCACCTGGATCTACAGCGTCAAGTATTGAAGGTACAGCATCAGTAAACGGGTCATTAGTTCTTCATATATACAAACCCTGAAGAATGTAGTAAACATATCTTCAGTCATATTTTATGTAAGATTATATATGAAATCAGTACGTCTAAATAAATAAATATTTTTGTAATCGTTTACATTGTTTCTAAATGCAGATTTCTACAAACCAGAATATTTAAATGGTAAAAACTCAATAACAAAAATAAAATGATAAATAATGGGTCCATTTCTTTGATTGTAAATATTATGTGTGTTTAAAATCTTCATTATGTATGTACCTGTGTTTTACTAGAGTAGTTCTTCTCTTTGATGAACTGCTCTGCTGCTTTCATAGCCGCTTTGCGCTCAGATGTGTTAGCATTTGGTCCTGTTGGCAAAGGGAAGAGGCATATGTTTAATGAAGCTCTTTCCTTTTTATGAAAAATATGTGGCACATTTAAACAAAGGGCCCCTAGTGATCTGTGTTGCATGTCAGAATTATGGAAAAAGATGGTATCAGTCTGACATCTCTATAATAAGATATGAGAGATATAAGAACTGATATAGGGCAGATTCAATGTCTAAACAGATACAATTGGCTGTTGAATAACATTGTTTAAAATAGTGTCATCATTTACTCAACCTCATGTTGTTTCAAACCTGTATGCATTATTTATTTTGTGGAACAGAAAAGAAGATATTTTGGTAACCAAAATGTTTTGGGTCCCATTGACTTACAAAGTATTTTTGTCCATGCTGTGGAAGTCAATGGGACCAGAAACATTCTTTGGTTTGGTTATCAACATTCTTCAAAACTTTTTTGTGTGTGTGTGTGTTCCACAAAAGAAAGTAAGTCATAAATGTTTGGAACGCCATGAGGGTGAGTAAATGATGACACTATTTTAATTTTTGAGCAGTCTATCCCTTTAATAGCATGCATAGTCTTGATGACATCAGCCAAAAAGTAAAGTTGTTTTGTGTGGAGTAAGTTAATAGATTTGTACGAGTTCTTTGGAATAATGTGCACCAATGAACTATGCACAATAAGAGCATCGATGTGTGTTAGGAAAGAAAATAGGATTAGGTTTTTTTATGTTGGTTTTAAAGTTAACAACTCATGCACATTGAGACACACCTTTCCAAACAAATACATTCTTATCAACTCCATTGTCCAGGATATAGCACTCAACCAGTGGTTTGGTCCTTGTCCTTCCAGTTAGAGAAGAACTGCTTGAACAGGGTGGTCTCGCCCCCTGCAGGAAGCACCTGGATCTACAGCGTCAAGTATTGAAGGTACAGCATCAGTAAACGGGTCATTAGTTCTTCATATATACAAACCCTGAAGAATGTAGTAAACATATCTTCAGTCATATTTTATGTAAGATTATATATGAAATCAGTACGTCTAAATAAATAAATATTTTTGTAATCGTTTACATTGTTTCTAAATGCAGATTTCTACAAACCAGAATATTTAAATGGTAAAAACTCAATAACAAAAATAAAATGATAAATAATGGGTCCATTTCTTTGATTGTAAATATTATGTGTGTTTAAAATCTTCATTATGTATGTACCTGTGTTTTACTAGAGTAGTTCTTCTCTTTGATGAACTGCTCTGCTGCTTTCATAGCCGCTTTGCGCTCAGATGTGTTAGCATTTGGTCCTGTTGGCAAAGGGAAGAGGCATATGTTTAATGAAGCTCTTTCCTTTTTATGAAAAATATGTGGCACATTTAAACAAAGGGCCCCTAGTGATCTGTGTTGCATGTCAGAATTATGGAAAAAGATGGTATCAGTCTGACATCTCTATAATAAGATATGAGAGATATAAGAACTGATATAGGGCAGATTCAATGTCTAAACAGATACAATTGGCTGTTGAATAACATTGTTTAAAATAGTGTCATCATTTACTCAACCTCATGTTGTTTCAAACCTGTATGCATTATTTATTTTGTGGAACAGAAAAGAAGATATTTTGGTAACCAAAATGTTTTGGGTCCCATTGACTTACAAAGTATTTTTGTCCATGCTGTGGAAGTCAATGGGACCAGAAACATTCTTTGGTTTGGTTATCAACATTCTTCAAAACTTTTTTGTGTGTGTGTGTGTTCCACAAAAGAAAGTAAGTCATAAATGTTTGGAACGCCATGAGGGTGAGTAAATGATGACACTATTTTAATTTTTGAGCAGTCTATCCCTTTAATAGCATGCATAGTCTTGATGACATCAGCCAAAAAGTAAAGTTGTTTTGTGTGGAGTAAGTTAATAGATTTGTACGAGTTCTTTGGAATAATGTGCACCAATGAACTATGCACAATAAGAGCATCGATGTGTGTTAGGAAAGAAAATAGGATTAGGTTTTTTTATGTTGGTTTTAAAGTTAACAACTCATGCACATTGAGACACACCTTTCCAAACAAATACATTCTTATCAACTCCATTGTCCAGGATATAGCACTCATCTAGGGAGAGCATCTCCTGCTTGAACGGGCTAGTCTGGGCCACAACAGATGTTTTCATGGAGCCAGAGGCATCTGAAATCTAGAATAACAATGATAAACCACCGGACAGCAATCAGGCATGAATTAAAGAGAGATAAATAAAGGTGATGAAAGCTTAAGAAAAAAAGATAATGAGAAACACAAGGTTTTGTCCTTGTGTGAATGATGTAGACAGTAGTTTAGGCTTTACAGCTGTCAGCTGTAAATGTACAACAGTCTACATAAATAATTAAGATGGTAAATACTCAGAACTGAGTTAAAATATAAGTAGAGATAATAGTCTTTATTACCATGTACAATGCTGCCTTCTTCTTGTTGGAGGTTTCCACTTCCTCATTGTCTGGAGCTGCTGGGGTGATGCTGGATTTGGGCCCAAGAACCTGCGAAAGGAAATACAAGATTAAAACCCATATGGGAACAGCAGGGCTTTATTTCCAACAACACGTATCTAATGCCAAGTGGACTGAATATTGAACCCTATGCTGAATGACCTGATAGCAGACTGAATATTTGGCACGCAAACTCATCCTCTCTCATTAAACGCATGATGGATGCTTTCTCATTAACACAACACACAAGCCAGAGCCAGTTCACAAACAAGCAAGCCATTGTGCCAAGTTTTACATCAGTCCTGGTTGATGGTGCCCAGACCCTAATGTGTGGTTATTCAGCATCCATGAAAATGTACCTCTGTATGTCATTTTATAAAAACAGGCATATCTTGTTTAGTGCCAGCTTTGATTTAACATTTTGCACTTAACCAGCAAACATAGAGAAATACATTGTAAGTGATTTTAAAGTGGATATCTACCCATATTGTTCATATTGTTGAGTAGATGAACAAGATGGTGATTGAGCGGAAATTGTTACAGGAAAAGTCAAGCTTAAATCTTTCGCTCACTTTAGTAAGAGCATCTGGTTCAGCCCCATCCTCCACCATGATCAGCTTGGCCCTGCCGTTCCTCTCATTGTCCCGGATATCAATGGCCAACTGGGAGGCCTTTAGACGTTCAAAACGATTGCAGTCACTGCCGCACCACTGATAAATTTCCTAACGGAAAATGGGAAAAGTGTCTTCAGAATGAATCAAATGTACACTACCATTCAAAAGTTTGGGGTCAGTAAGATTTTATTTTGAAGAAAAAAAAGAAAGTAATAATTTTATTCAGCAAGGATGCATTACATTGAATTCAAATGGTAAAAATTGACATTAAATATTTTGACATAACTGACATTTCTTATAATGCTTATAGTGTTACAAATATTGAATGCTACTTCTTTTGAACTTTCTTTTCATTATAGAATCTTTTAAAAAAACACTTATTTTCACAAAAAAATTAAGCAGCACAACTGTTTTCAACATTGATAATAATAAGAAATGTGTCTTAAGAAGCCAATCAGAATATTAGAATCATTTCTAAAGGATCATGTGACACTAAAGACTGAAGTAATGGCTACTGAAAATTCAGCTTGCCATCACAGAAATAAATTACACTTTAAAATATATTGAAATAGAAAAAAAGTGATCTTAAATTGTAATAGTAGTGAAATCTTATTACAATTTAAAATAACTATTTTCAGTGAGCAAAAGAGTTCTTTCAAAAACATTAAATCATACTGACTCCCAACTTCTGAACTGTAGTGTATATTAAAAAAATTATAGTAAAATATTTTAGTATATTTTAAAATATTCAAATGTGTTCTATTGGCAGCTCTAGTTGTTATAGGAAAGTATAAAAAATAAAACAAAATGATTTCCAGTCTGGTCAGTCATCAATACCTTCCCCAAGTCTACGATAAAGCAGTCTCCTTTGTTGAAGCTGCTCCAGGACATCTCCACCTCAGTGGCTCTGATGGCCCTCCTGCCCTTGATGTGCAGCAGACGCTTCACATCCACGTCATTGGTCAACACGTGATGGAAGCCAGACGCAACCCCACCTTGCTGAGGAGTCAGGAAAGACAGTTGACTCATTCCATTACATAAAATGATACTGGGATAATTGCCAAAATAAAAAGTAAAAAACAAGCAAAGAACTAAGTGCAAACCACTCAGCAGAGTGCTTCTCAAAGAGCCATGCAAACTTACTGAGCTAAGCAAATTGCTGAATATAATGGAAAGAATGTGCCATGACTAAACAGTAATGGATGTTTTAGAGCCATAATTGATTCTACCCTGGTGCTTCTACAAAGTAAAACCAGCAGGAAGACTACTTTTGCATTCTCACTGCAAGATAATGATAAACTCTACTTCTAAGAAGGGTTATTTTCATTAAAGCAAAGGTGAGTTTACCTTATATTTGATGCCAGACTTGAAGTAGCCCAGGAAGGTGAGCGACTCGTTGTTTTGGACCTCACGGAATTGAACCGGACCACCACCGAGAAAGTCATCCAGCTGTGTGGCGAAGATAGCTGCAGCTCCACTTTCATCTTGAGAACACTCATTCCCTGAAGAGGAGGGAAATAATCACAGGAAAATTCATGAAAAGGCTTGCTTGTTTGTGCTATCTTATTAATATCTTTTAAAAAAATAAATAAAAAATGCAATTCACACATCTGATAATGTATGATAAGCATGTTTTGTCTGTATTAATTTTTTTTATATTTTTTGATGAATATATGATCAATTGCCATGATGAATAAAAATGCTTGAAAAGAAACCTTAAAGCCCCTGTAAAGTCAATATTAAGTATGTGTTCTGAGTTTGTCACACCACAGAAAAATGTATTATTAACCACTCAGCCAAATTTGAATGATAAAAAAATCCGCTAAGTACATAAAATAAGTTATCAAAATCGCTAAAAAATGGGTGGTATCCTCTGCTCTCAAACGTTGGGGACGTGTTCGCTGTCTGCGCTGAAACCACGCCCACTCGAGGGAAAGCTGCTTTGATTGGTCTGATGGCCCAGTCTGTTGTGATTGGTCTACTGCGTACAATGGGTGTCGGAAACGATACGCCCATTGCCATAGTATTCTGTATTTTGAACGCTCGATAGAAAATATAAACATCTATTATTTATCATACTTGTGATTCAGTCAAGTAATGGCATAATAGGGGTCTCTTAAAGTGCCCCTATTATGCCATTTCCAATATTGCCTTTCATGCAGTGTGTAATGTAGCTGTATGTGAATGTAAACGATCAGCAAAGTTGTAAAGTTGAAAGTGCACGATAAATAAAGTTATTGTCTCCCAAAATAAAGAATCAACTCTCTAGCCTAAACGAGTCGTTAGTAATTAGAATCTCACTTCACATTTGCATTTGGTAACACATTTGCATAATTCCTGCCTATATTCTACATTGGCCGGCAGCGAACAACTTGACCCCGCCTACAAACATGGAATTTTACTGACGGCTGCTTCTCTAATCTCGGGGAGTTAAAAAAAAAAATCAACGCGGGAGTTCAATGCGGGATTCACTAAACGCTTGATCTTGAAAGATGGCTCAGTAACCTGTTTATTTGGACCAGCTGGCTCCACTGAATCACAAGTATGATAAATTTGTAACATTTATAATGCGTTTAGAAACAATTCTAAGAATTGACTTTACAGGGACTTCAAGTAGTTTGTAATATAATATGTAATAATGCAATATAAAAAATATATTAACAAAACTGCTTCTACGATGTGTAAGCATTCATGTATTCAATGTTTAAGGAAAATTATATATATATATATTTTTACTTTTACTGAGTCATTAAATTGATACATTTCTCAAAAATCTAAATTAACTTTCACTTCTTTTAAAATATTTTCACAATACTTTATCATGGACACTCTCATACAACTTTCACACAAAAGCAACATACAAAAAAACAGTGAAAACATGTTTAAGGTTAGATGCTTATGTTAGTGAAAGAAAAAACCTACAGCTTACAGGAACACTCAAACTAACTTCACTTGCCAAGCAGCACTAGCAGTGGATCTGTCTTTAGCAAAATAAGAACCAAATAAAAACCCCAAAGAAGTCACATGGAGCACATTATGAGATTTTCCACTCTGTGTCCTCAAATAAACCTTTTCTTCTCACATTACAGCTCCATTCAAATGTCTAAGAACTATTATGGTTTGGAGCACGTCTGAGAGCAAAACAAGTAAGTTTAAATCACTGTCTGGGTGGAACAAAAACAGCATCTCACTGATCAGTCTCTGGAATTAAACAGGAAACAACATAAACTAATTGGGCTGAGAGCCAACGTTTGATGCATTGCCACGAAAACATGTGAAGGCACACTGTAGTCTGTGGAGATGACTAAATACCCTTTAAGTGACTACCCTTCTAAGGTATGCCATCTGTACATGATCAAAGTGCAATTTCAGAATTCTTTATATTTCTGTGAGCTAATGGTGGAAGCTCATGAGAATTCACAGCATTCATAAAAAAGTAGACAAAAAGTCCCCAGACTGCCTACTATTTCCAGCAAGATTCTGAAGTGTGCATCTGATGGACACATTAGGCCACGGCAGAGGATTTGTGAATGTCAGTTATGCAAAACTGAGGCTGTGTCAACTGCAGGTAGGTCACATGACAATGGCAACATGGTGAATGTAGTATGGATTAGTACACAAATTCATACTATATAGAACATACTTTTTAACAGTTCAAAAGAAGTACTTACTCGGAGTATGTGATTTAGAACGCAGCCAGTGACTTGTTTTGTTCCTTAATGAATCAGTGTTTTTGAATGAATCAGTTGAATGAATGACTAAATGACCCATTCATAAAGACAGACATTTGCCACATCTATTGGTGCACATGTACCAGTAAATTTCTGGAGAAATTTGGTCGAAAAAAAGGTCTAATGTCTACCATCAATAGTGTAGTGATGTACACCACCAAGCAACTTTCTGTTGGTCAGTGCAGAAAATTCAGGTGACCAACTTCTGGTCAAATATGCATGGGGAAATATTTTGCCTCATATAAAATTGCCACTCTGATAGAAAATACAAAAAAAGCATTTCTTTGTAATGGCCCATTACATAACATACATTTCTCAAGAGCTAAACAAAACATCCTAGCACTCTCTTATAGGAAAAGCAGCATTAAAAATGAAATGAAATGACATGAAACTGAAAAAGACAGACAGGCCATATCCTTCCTCATCTAAATAAAGCACATTAAAAACATATGTGGTTTACCATGTGTTAAAAGATATATTCATATTATTGTACATCTATAACTAAAATGCTTCTATTCTATTCAGACCACCAGGTGTGTCTCTTACCCATCCACATGTGTATATAGTACGAGGGTGCGGTGGTGGTGTACAGCAGGAGGTAGGCATCACCAGTATAGAAGTTGCCATAGAGATTCTTAGGCACTGGCTTCAGGTCCATGTTCTCAATGCGCCATATCTGCAGACCAGGAGCTTTCCCTGCAGTCTCAAACTCCTTATGGGACACCATGGTGACTGAAGGAGATGCAGAAGATAAAAGGTTCAAAATAAAATTAAGATAAAAGGTGTCTTTTCAGGGCATTACATCAATAATGGGAAATAAGAAGCATCTGTTCCTCTGAGAATGCTCTTGGTAATTGCTTGAGAACTCTATGAAGTCTGAATCTTTATAAAATCATATATATATAATCAGTTCTAATACATAAAAAACTCAAACTTTCAAATAAAACACCTCCCTAAGGCTTTCACTGGCTAATCTAATAAAACTCAAGTTCTGTAAACAAGGGTGTTACAAGTATATTTAGTAGTTATACATAGTTTGCCTAATGTAGCAACAGGAAAGCAATGACCACACAGTACAAGAGCAATGACAAACATTATAGGTTTACTGAAACATTGTCGGCAAACTTGAATACATTTTCAGACCAGGAGCTTTCCCTGCAGTCTCAAACTCCTTATGGGACACCATGGTGACTGAAGGAGATGCAGAAGATAAAAGGTTCAAAATAAAATTAAGATAAAAGGTGTCTTTTCAGGGCATTACGTCAATAATGGGAAATAAGAAGCATCTGTTCCTCTGAGAATGCTCTTGGTAATTGCTTGAGAACTCTATGAAGTCTGAATCTTCTGACATCTGTGATTCTGGAATCACTGACTCCCATAAAACATACAGTCTGGCACAGCATGGGGACTATCTGCACCATTTACTCACATGCAAAAACTCAGATGCAAATGTAATGCACCATACATTACACCTCTGTGCCTGTGTGACAGGATAGATAAGACTGAGCCATTGAAAAGAGGATCTTAGTCGTCATAGGAAGGATAAGGAAGAGAAACACATGGTCAAGGTTATAAACTTGGCTTACATGCTACCTAAACTGAACTAACTGAAGAGTCAACATTAGTATCGCTCAGAAACTAATCTAAACATTTAACAAGGTGTTATGCTTTTCATATAGTAATCAATAAAGGATACATTCTGCATTCTTCAGTCATGTTAATGTTAAGCCGTTTTTATGCTAGTATACAAAATAATAAGCCTCCATGCCATTGGCCTATCTACAGCAAACACTTATGTTTTTTTTTATTTGTTGTTGTTTTCCATTTGAAATATTGTACATATAGGACATGGCTTTGAAGCACAGAAACCACAATCCATGCAAATGTATTTCCTGCAGCAGATGTAAATGGCTCTCTGAGTAACTTAATTAGACCATGTCATTATATTATTAGTTCGACCTGTTTCAGTTATCAAATTAATGCAGTGGTGTAAGTCTCTTATTCTCAACCAAGGGTGCATTTATTTGATCAAAATACAGTAAAAAGTATATAGTCAACATTGTTGCTATAACCAAAAACGACCAAATGCAACTTCACAGATGCATATGCATAAGTGTAGCAATGACATGCATTTCAGATTTTGCATAACTACAAATCCTGCAAAGATTTTTTTATGTCCTTTTATGTCCTTCCTTCACTGCTGTACTTTACTGTATTCAAAGCCTGTCAGTTTTCTGAGCATAAACGAATCACTGTACTACTTTAGTACGGACAGCAAAGTTGGACTTTGTCTTATGAAGGTGGAAACGTGGCATGCATTAAAGAACGTTTTCCATCTGGATAACAAATATTTAGCAAACAGGGCGTTACTATGTGAGCGCAGAGTTAACATTTATATGCTATCATATATTGTTACTTGAGGACAGTAAAGAACACTCCATTCGTTTAGTTTTCATTATAGCCAGTGAATTTAAAGCGATATGACGTACAAACTGAATATTGAAAACAACTTACGAGATTGTGGCAGATGCAGAAATCTGTCAGTGCACGAGAAAAAGTGATGTGTTGTCAGATAAAGTGTAGTCTTTCTTTACCAAATCCGCGATTTAACTGGAGGGAGTGTCTGTAAAACAGGGGCGTGTATGAACACACGGTGATCTTTCAACACAGTTGTGTCTCAAAACCTGATGTCAGCCGACTATCTATACAACATTTTTGGGCATTAGACTCATGATGAATGCGTATATGATGACAATAAACAAACAAACAAATAAATACAAATAAAACAAAATTAATTAAATCAATCAATAAACAAACAAACAGCACACTAGGTTTTGATATAGCCTTTGCATCTTTGGATTAATATGTGATTCTAAAAGCTTATGTTTTGTGAGATCCCGGCAAACTTGAATACATTTTGAGCTTCTGATACAGGATGCACTGCATAAGAAAATGTCTTCTAGGCAAGGACCTTGCAAAATGGCAGACAAAAATCATATAATGTAAAATAAGAATCAGATGCTGCTTTTGTGGGTTGCCTACCACTGAAATGGTGGAGAGTTTTGAAAGAGCTTGAGAGCTTGAAACTTGAAACATCTCCCATGTGCTTGCAATTAACCCACAGACATGAAAGGCAATTTGAAATAGCATTGCATTTATTGAATATAAACTCTCAGATAAGAGCTGAAAATTATATTACAGATGGACATTATTGTATTTTATACATTTTAAATGTTTTACGATTTTCTCATTGATTTCAACTCAAAGACATTTACAAGCTCATATTTCTTACTTCCTGAAGTAAAACATGCATCTACAACACTTGAACACTAATTTCTACTTTTGCAAACAAACATGTTGTTCAAAAATGGTAACTGAAAACCAAAAGCAAACTGACCATTGGAGGTTGAGACAGAATGTGAAAGCTTCACTGTTAACCACATAAAATGAGAACTTTGTTTCTGCATTGAACTGCTTAGTAACATCATTCAGAAATATTTACCAGATTATAACCATGATCATAAACTGTCTGCAAGCAGAGCTGATGAAGAGCTTATGTTAAAGCTGAACTGTCAAGGTAAATAATCAACGGACAGATGGCGAGTCAAAAAGCTCTCCGGAAGGCAGTGGATTTCCGGGATTAAACTCTTCTGCAGTGTGATCATGCTGGAATAACTGTGACTCATCAAGCCTATGAAAGCAACAGCTGTGGATATCTGCCCAAAAAGGTGGGTGACAAAAGTATGCAATTAAGATGAAGGGGCTGTAGCAATGTCAATAGTCAAACAAAGAGAGGGAATCACCAGATAACTTTATTGTCTCATGGAAACTGTTGCCATGACTGCCATTGGGGACTTCTCCATTGTAAAGGTCAAGTTAACATGAGCTAAAGGCTGCAGAGAGGAGATTTCCAAGACACTGTCACAGATAACACAAGAAAGACACTGCTATGGAACTGAAACACTGTATATATTGTATATATTTGTCTGCCCTGCTTGCAAGCCCATCAGATGGTCAGGATGTGGTCTAGTAGCTATTACAAATGTTCCACCAAGAAAACCCTGTGCTCACGTGGGAGTTGTGGGTTTGAGGCCATACAATTCTATTGTAATTGTTATACATAATGTAAGGTCTGTTTAAAAAAAAGGAAAAGTTAGGAGGAAGTGCGCAAGGTGATAAAGCTTGTGGAGCACAGCTTTGTTTGGAAAGTAAACTTTTCTACATCCGTTTTCTTATATGCTGTATATGTCCATTCATTTAACGCTCACATCCCCTTATAACATACTCTTGAGTAAGAAGACTTAAGCATACTTTTAAAAAGGTTATTTATTACAGAAATAATATATTTATGTGCAAACTGGATGTACCTGGGATTGAACCCAATCAAATATTTCTGGAGAAACCTGAAAATGTGCATCTGCCCCCATCCAACCTGACAGAGCTTGAGAGGTGAACAGGTGAGGTGAAGAATGGCAGATAATTGCCAAATGCTGATGAGCAAAGCTTGTCGCATCAAACAAAAAAAAAAAGACTTGAGGCTGTTAAGATGCTTCAGCGAAATATTTAGTTATACTTATGCAATGTACTTATTTCAGTTTTTTATTTTTAATAAATTTACGAAGTTGTGACAATTCTGTTTTTGCTTTGTCAGTATGGTGTATGGAGTGTAGATTGATGTGGGAAAAAAAGTAATTTAAAGAAGTTTATCATAAGGCAGCAACATAAAATGTAAAAAAAAAAAAAAAATTAAGGGGTATGAATACTTTCGCAAGGCACTGTATATAAACACTTAATTGCATGTAATTGCAATTAAATGAAAATGATTACAGCTTAAATTTATATTAAATGCAATTAGCTGAAATTTAGAGCTTTTCTGACCCACTGAAGAAAGAAATAATAAGGTCCTATAAAAGAAAAATGATTAAAGTGTACTGCTTTACAAGCATTTATGGTAAACTAAAATATACTTTAATACCAATTATATTCACACTTGCATGTCATGTATTTAAATATATTTGTAATTACACATTTGTAAAGATGAAGTTGCCATTTAGAACATTTAAATATATTAACTTTAGTTTAAACATGATATTGAATAACACTCTACAGTTAAATTGTAATCAGGTATTTACATATGCTTTGTAGTACCCATGTACCCATCCATCCTTCCAAAATTATCATTAACGGAGAGAAGCATTTCAGATACCTTGGCATTACATTGGACAATCATCTAAACTTCAGTCAGCATACTCTAAGCATCTACAAGTGTTGTCAACAGAGACTTGCACATATCTGGAAACTTAAACACTTGTCTGTTCAGCCTTGTCTCTTTCTTCTGTATCAAAGTATTACTGAGCCAGCTCTTACATATTGTGCCATTTGTTTCTATCATATGCTTACAGTTACTAATAGGAATAAACAAAAATAACTAATTTAGCTAGTAAAATTATTGGTATTCCTACCCCTAACTTATCAGACTGTGTCACTTCATCCATGATTCGGAAAGCACATATACAATCCTAAATGATCCAGCCCACCCACTCCAACAGTATTTCATATCCTTTCCTTCTGGCCACAGGTATAGATCACTTATGTTCAGAAAAGCCAGCTATAGTAATATTTTTGATGTGCTGATGTTAGTCAGCACATCAAAATAAGTATATTTCTTTAAAGCAAGTCTTGAAATTGTACACTTTTATTTCTTTAACATTAAATTATCTGCAGGTA